GGCAACCAATGGCTTGACGCCTTTATATATAAGTGAAATGTTCAGTCTTATCTCCCAAACCTACAAGTATAGTGCACGTTCCTTTCTTAAAAATAATTTACACATTACTAAATGGAAAACATCCATGGGTCAGAGAACGTTTCAGTATAGAGGGATAACCCTATGGAATAACTTGCCATTCAATATCAGAAATTCAGCCTCTTTAGGCATTTTTAAGAAAACTTACAAAATTTATCTTAGTGAAAAATTTGTTGTAAATGGCTCAAGCCTATAGTGCGTATATTGTGTTTTTGTCCGTACAGAGGGCCCAATGAAAATTACTTTATTGTATATTGGCCTACCCTCTTTAAATAAAGTGTTAAATAAAATAAATAAAATAAAATAAATGAAACTTGGTACATAGATACTCAAGGACTATGCATAGATTGATTGTTTTGGGATAATTTTTTGTGCATATTAATCACCTAATTTGCATAATTAGTTAATTTCCAGCTTTCGCACTGATTTCTCAAGTACTAATCATCACATTTCAATGAAACTTTGTACATGGATGCTGTAGAACAATAGACAGACCTGCATGATTTTGGGTTAAAATCTGTACATATTAATTACTAATTTGCATAATTAATCACTTTTAAGCTATCACGCTGATATCTAAAGTACTAATTATTCCATTTCAATGAAACTTAGTACAAGGATGCTCCATGACAATGTACAAACCTGATTAGTTTGGGGTTAAAATCTGTTTATATTAATTCCATAATTAGCATAATAATTCATAATTTTTGTTGTTTCCAATCACATTTCAATAAAACTTGGTACATAGTTGATCTGTTACATTCCACGGGCCTCATTAGTTTTACACTCAAATCTGTCCATTTTAATTTTCTGATTTGCATTATTAGTTTTCAGCTTTTCCATCACTATCTCAATCAAGTACAAGTAATTTTGAATTATATTTAATGTGTCTCCAATACTCTCAGCACATGGCAGTTCTTTCTAAGCTTTCTTTGATTTTTCTTTGGCTTTACTTTTTGTACTGCTTGTACACTCTTTTCCCTTTCCTGGAGAGTTGTTTCTTTTATTCTATGGATGTCACTGACGCTGTGTGCTGTTATCGTGTATGCCACAGTATTACCGACAGTAATTACTCGTACTGTCGCGTGATTTCATTAGAAACACGCATTTGATCGTGAGACAATCAATGTTTATTAACAATAATGTCGCACATGCGCAGTGCGACGATGTCCTCCTTTAATACTCCCATAACAAGGGGGTAATTCAACACTAGATCTAGTATCATTTCATCATTAGATCCCATATCATTTCATCATTAGATCTGACTACTCGTTCTGTGTCGATTACGAGACTTACACACACATGCAGTTATCGTAATTTATACATGACATCGTGGAGCGTCTCATTTGCATAAATAATCGCTATTCATGAACACCGATTATTGTTAGTTTACCCTATTGCGATTAGGAAGTAGTAATTACTAATGTTGGAGTCGATTCAAACAGTGGCTATTCGACGTTCCGTAGAACATCTATATCAGGCACAAATAAAACAAATTTCTGTGTGCTGAGAGGTTTGCAAAATTTGAAATGACATCACAAATTATAAGTGACTTTATATAGCACATTAAGTCTTCTGAAACTACCACGTAGATTCGAATTAATGTAATATATAATAATTCACAAAACATTTTGAGACATTGTGACACGTGTGCTAGTAAATGCTAGAAACACAAAATGACTGCATGGGTTACAAAAACCGTATATAGTAAAATTCATTACTCAAAAACCTCAAGGACAAAAAAAATCATCCTAATAAATTGCAATAAACTATTTGCGCCGCCAGCGTCTACGTTGTGTTCTCTTCCTTCTCTGAGAGACGATAGTACACAGCAAAGGTGACCAACCAGATAAACAGGACGATACAAACAGTAACAACACTGGACGTCAACATGGTAGATGCCCCTGGAATTCATACAACATATGACAATTATATAATTATATTATATAATTAATAGTAGAATATATATAAATATCCTGTTATTTCCATATATGAATTCTGGCACACTATTAATATTTCTTTGCTGAATGACTAACTAACATGTTTTATTAGTTCATGCCCGAAAATGACAACCATTTGAAAAGACAACTTACCAACTGGGCATTGTAGTCGCAGCTTTCGTTGTCATAGCAAGAAATAACAGATTATCATCCGTAATTAGTGCCAGATTATCACACTCCTGGTGATAACAGGCGTCCATCGAAGATCGGAAATTGGCTGAGATAAAGTGATAGAAAGCTTTAATAATACAATCAGATATACAAACGTGATAATACTAATATAAAACATCAATCTATATTTCGGGATAACTAAATTTTCTTTTAGTAATCTTCAATCAGTAAATAAAAGCTTTGATATATTCCACATACTGAGAAAAAGTAATCATACAACACGTATATGACGATACCTGAATCGGTTATGAACAATGCATTTAGATACGGTGGTCCAACTCCCCAAAATCGCTGATGATCACTTCTAAACAAGTCTGCATATACACCCTTCTCGTATTCAGTAGGTACACCTAGTACAAATTCAAACAAAGATATGCCTCAATAAAAAAAGTGACATGTTATCGAACTCAGGCATGCTGTGACGGTGACTACCCTCTGATACAAAAAAAAGAAATATATCTTATCGATTTACCATCTGTTGGTATTTTAATTATTTCGGCGTAAAACACCGGTTGTGTGTGATTGATCTTGGCAAGATGTTCCACAAACTTGTCGCTGAAGTCAGCATCCGTCCTTCTGCCGATGACGTTGAGGAAATCACCACGAAAACCACGGTTCTGAATATTAGTATAAGTTTCTGGAAAGATCTGTTATAAGATACAGATGCAGGATATTGATGTTCAAAGTGACCTGTATTGAAAAAAATCGCACCATAGTAGGATAAAATATATAGGTTGAAGTGGTTTAGAACGATTCTTCTGGGAATATGATTAATATGTATTATACGTCCAGGAAAACTAAATCCTTAAGTTTGTTCATTCAGATAACTCAATAAGGGCCTTCAACGTAATCACGATAACTTCTTCTAATTGAAATACACACACAATAAAAACCAGCATAACAAATGGGTTACGTATTTTTATACGTGTTTTCATATTTAACGATAGAACACATTAACTAACTTGCTGAAATCCATATGGAACGTTTTGAGAATTGTCAGTATTGTTGTAATTCATCGCCGTCTCTATGATGAGGGCGCCCTGGAAGAGACTATTTACTACATCATCACCATTTGCCAGGAAAGGGAGCAGCCATTTCTGCACAAAGTACTGACTTCCAATGCATATTTCCTGTGGTCCTGAATGAGATAATATGACATTGTTTTGGATATTTATCAGTCTTTCGAGTTAGTGCCCACTGCCACTGTTACTGCCTGTATTTTCAACTGGGTTACAGTTTCGCTCTTAAAGCGGGGGAGTCGTCACCTGCGCATGCGTCAGATGGCCATATGGTGTCATTGTTTACAAACAAGCGTCTACCCATGAGCCTTTGTGAGTTTAGCGTGTATTGTTATCGTCGCTTGGGACTCAATTCCCGCGCGTGCGCAGGTGACGACCCTCCTGCTTTAATTTGCTTGGATTCTTTTTGCTTGAATGAAAACTATAATTTTCCATTTTTACATCACTCAATACACATACCTGGTACGAATGGGTATCCATACGTTATGTACACAAATGTTACCAAATGCTATTATTGATGCTATGGAGGCATCGCCTGGGTCTTCGAAAACATTTTTTTATTAGTTATTAGTAATTTAGTCACCTTTTTGCCATTCTTCCAAATCATGAACGCAACGAATCAGACGGTATTTCTAGCATTGCATTTACTGCTGGTAATCACAGCAGCTACTTCTAAAAGGACGGCCATCCCAGATCCATTATCATCAACGCCCGGAGTGGATTCCACAGAGTCGTAGTGCGCCCCCAGGAGGATAACTTGATCATCAGCCGTCCCTCTCAACAGTCCTGGGAGAACGCCGATGATATTTGTTCCTTCATACTGCGATAAAAAAAGTGTCAATCATTAAAATTATTGTTTTGTTGCTTTTGTGAAGCCATCCCATGTTATAATTCACATATCTGTTTTGCCGATGAGGAGAAATGTTGAAGTTCAATTTCAAGATTACTTCCTTCCATCGCCTCTTTGATATAATTTCTAACATTGTCTTTGTTTGTAGGATTGACGTCATGATGCCGATTCTCACTGAAATGTTCAGTTATTTGAGTTCTGAGTCGGCGGCTTGTGTCTCTCAATTCTCTCGAATTCCCACAAAATACTTCAATCTTTATAAATACTATGAATACGATGAAAACAGTTTTATATTAAAATCCTAAATTCTTATATTAGAAAAATAAATCAATGCCATTATACTATAACTATACCCACGTGACCAATGTGCTGTCGATTATTCAAGGTAAAATGTTCCAGGTTACTGCCACGTGAACCGATATGAAACCGTGTAACCGGACGATATATAGTCGCTTTCAGTTTCAGTTTCAGTTTCAGTTCTCTGATTCTATTTAAACTATAATACACAGCATTAAACGGGAAAGAGTCAGTTGTACATTTGACATGACGTCACTACGAATGGTGGGGGAAATGTATATACACTGACTCCATATGTATTGATATCGTAACGTTCATATATGCTATATTTAGAATTAAAAAACACAAAAAAATAGAATTAAATATTAACGAAAATATGTATAAAAGTCCTGTGATGTTAGCTACTTATAGACCGGCCATTTTATTTTAATTTATGAAGTCACGTAGTCTCCGCATGGACAAATCTTTCCCGAATTCCCACTATCTGTTGACCACGCCAGATTTACAACTTCTATGTTTTAATAACGCACTGAAAATGTCATGGCAGGTAAATAATAACACATGGTCATTCGGGCAATATCCCAATTTGTTGTCTGCCCAAGGGATGGTGGTCCTGACCATAATATTGCTGATGCCAGAGCCGAAGGACCACGTGTTATTTATTCTATCTGTCACACGCAACGTAATATTACCGTAATTGGTATGGTACAGGTGTGATGGTTCAAATACCAAAATGGCAACAGTAAAATATAGACTTCCCTGGCGGCGATGATAACATACGAACACAGAGTCAACAGATGAGGTTTCAACTGGTACTGGTATTATTATACTCTGCAAACATCAAGTACAATAACTCGGTAAAACTCCAAACCTCCAATAACTAGATACTTAAACTCCAATACAATTCAACGAGATCTCCGATCTGATCTCAGTGCTGAACAACTCCCCTATATATACCCACACTGTCTATAAATAGACCATTACATCAGCATACATAATGAGTCTGGAACTTACTACAAATTTCTAGAATGTTCCATTACCTTCTATTGCCTTCTACAGTGTCTTATTACCTATTCAATCAACATCTAAAAATTCCACCCAGACACAGTATGGTTCTAGAACATTCTCAGTCACACGGAAGTGGTAAACAAGTCGTATGCGACACTATCAAATCGAGCAAACATCCACTATGCACAATCACATCTACCATACATCACTCACGCCGTCCCTCCTACAAGATAACAACACTTATATTTGAAGTATGCAAAATATTATTTTATCTATTATAACAAGTTTCACATTACTCAATAGCATACATAAATTGTTTGCTGAAAAAACTGCAAAATACACTCAGTAAATGTTATTTTCAGATCACGGATAAACTCTTTTAGTAACTGTGTTTCAGCAGTGTGAATCATTCAATTTATCGAGTATAACATTTTTGAAATGAATTGGGAAATTCTCAGACGCAATTTATTTTACCACTCGCCAAATAAAAATGTCAGTGTGCCGTGAAAGTGACTGAAATTACTTTCTCACGAACGTACCACGCCTTCTATTCACGAGTCACACAGCTTAGAGTGTTTTCGATTGGCATCGACGTGGCGTAGAAGTGCTCACAGCGTACGGAACGCGCCGCAGCGACCTCGGCTGCGACGTTTCAGTAGCGGTTTTGCCGTTCATTTTTGCTTCATATAATAAATACCCTAAACATCAAAACATAGTATCTTACTTAATATTCATTCTGACACGTTCGCTGTCTATTTCAAAACCTTGAAAGCAACCCCCGAAAACAACAGCGGTTGGGGCAGTACCAGCTCAGCCAACGACAATTTGTTATGCGCAGTATCGTTGCTCAGCAGTTTAACTGACGGGCAATATACCATGCAATATCCATTTTTATTCAATGTCATGTGACCGAGTCTTAACCAATCACAGCATACGTAACAGTAGTGAGATGTGACAAATGATTTTATGTTTTCAGTTAGGCCAAAAAAAACAATGTTGCTCTCAAGTCCGAAAATTGAAAAATTGGGTCGGTCGGTCGGATTTTTTTTTTTTAACTCGTGAAAACTAAGGGTATCATAAATAGCCGAGGTATATGGACTTCATAGTATTCGGAACATGTCAGAGAAATACAGATCAACCCGAGGTTCAAAGTCGCCACTTATCTCCCGGGACCCTGGGGATCAAACAACGGTCCGGGACAATCCCAGACAAAAATCTCATCAATCAAATTGAACTTAATATAAAATATGGTATTTCTCTTGAAAATGAGTTTCAATCAATGCGTGAAATTCATAAATGCCTAGAACAAGAGTTAATACGATAGATAGACATGAATGTAATTAACGACATGAATGCAAATTGAAATTCAAAGAGGAAACCATAATTCGATATAATCAACAACACCGCGATATTATTTATTTCTGGAACAAGTAAAAAGCAACGCCTTAATTTGCCTAATTTTAAAAAAGGATCGGGAAAACGCAGGGTACACATAGTATGTTAGAGCAGATATGAGGCGATAATGTTTCATAACATGTTTGATTTGCTTTCGGTAACACTGTGTCGTTGTTCCATAACTCAACCAAAGGTCACTGAGGTCAAATGTGAATAACCTATTCTATTTCTTGTCGGTTTGTATATAATACGCAAATTATATACAGTACCACGCTGGGATTCTTCGAATCTATTCTGGTGATTGTATACTTACTTTGATACTGTAATTGAACTTAAAATCGATGTTATCCGTATTGATAATATATCCAAGTTTGAAAAGATTAGATTATTCCAACAAACGAAATGAGTACAAACATTTTTGGGTAACTCATAAACAATATTTTTGAAAGTAAACTTGGCCTCAGACTAGTGTAATTTGTTATCAACTAGTATACAATGTTGAAATCTTCCGAACTAAGTTATTTTGAGATGCTCTATTTTTACCGCAATTTATTTGAATCTAAGGATGTGGGTAGCTCAAGTCTCTCAATAATGGCCAGAAGTACGTTCCAATATTCGCTCACACTAGTGACGCCAAGTATACACTCGCGTTGATAATATTTGCTCCGCGGTTTGAATATTTCCACCGCGGAGAAAATTATTTTCACCGCGGTTTAAATATTCTCACCGTGGTGCAAATATTATCACCACGGAGAAAATTATTCTCACCGCGGTTTAAATATTTTCACCGAGGTGTAAATTAAAGTGAAAATGTCGGAAATTCGACATATGCAGAAAATTATTCTCACCACGGATTTAAATATTTACACCGCGGAGAACATTATTTACACCGCGGTTTAAATATTTCCACCGCGGAGAAAATTATTCGTGCCGCGGTTTAAATATTTCCACCGTAGTGTACATTAAAGTGAAATTGTCGGAAATTCGAAATGAAGCCGAAAAATACAGGTGAAAATGTGAGAAATTCGAAAAATAGTGAATGTCCCTAACAAGCCACCGTACCATACACATTTTATATTTGAACAGCTATGGAGCGATAAGATTACATAATGTTTGATTTACTATCGCTAAGACTGTACCCTGAATTCCAGCCATTTTATAGATTTATCATAGACGGTATCTAGTCTAGTAACACTGTGTCGTTGTTCTATAATTAGACCAAAGGCCAAAAACTTCCATGTTCGACTTTAGCAGTTGAATTTAGAATTTATGTCTTTCTTTGAGCATGTCTATTTAATTTCGTTTACAATAATGTATGGAGAGACGATAAGATCGCGGACATTGTGCAGTGAGTGACACCCTTTGTGATTTCTAAGTCGTATAAATGCAACATGCCCGCCTCGGTCGCTGTACATCGCCAGACAGTGAAGGGGTAAAGAACAAGACTATAACTTAAACACATGGCAAACCGTCACACACACCAACGTAAACTGTAGCGGCGGCACATGGGGGCAGAGGGGGCGATTGCCCCCTCGAAACAAAGTGTTGGGGGCGACAAGAAAATAGAGTTTCAGATGGTCTATATTTCAAAATTGTTAAGGGGGAGCATGCCCCCGGAACCCCTAGTAAGGTCGCGCCTTCGGCGCAAGGCTGGTGAGCAGACCCCCTCCCCCATGCACAACTTCGTGCCGCCGCGTCTGGTAAAAAATGATGCGGGTCTGCTGTATTGCTTACCTGCAAAGATGAACAGCAAACACAGCGAACTAAACGGCATTATTGTAGCTTCGGAAAAGTGTGCCTGGTAGCGCGGTAGATAACTTATCAAGGAGTGCCACACACGAACCTCAAATCCGTTATGACGTTAGTATGTAAATGTATAACATGGTCAGAATAGTGTGACCATTTCTTATACCACCGACAATTCACACGTTCGAGCGCCAATCATGTGGTTAAAGTTATCGGGAACATTTAGTCACAGTTATTGATTCGTATTTACTCGTATTTTTTCCGCATATATACACATCCTTTTAGTGTTAGTCCAATGTGTTTCTGTTTGATATTACAAGTAAAGCTATGGAAAACTAGCACAATGCCCACCCTCACGTTTCCCATTTTAGATCTGTGTCCCACTGAAATGGGCAGTTATTGATTTTTTTGCTGGAAATGATTACTCGTATCCAAGTAAATTTGGGATATTTCTCGTGTTGTAGCCACGCCCACCTATCGTGAAACGGGCGACTGTTTCCGGATTTCCGACTCTAGCCGAAAGTGCGCCACCAAATGACAAAATGTGAGAGGAAGTCATACCCCTGAGCCGTAATAACACTGGTCATTCAGTATACTTTTAAATGATATACATTTTTCGGTCGGAGTTTTTTCTTTTTTTGTGTCTATTTTTTTTTTATGTTGTGTTGTGGGCAGTTGCAGTGAAACGTATTGTCATAGTGTATGTATTCACACGTTTCTAATTGATCCGAAGGTGCGACTCATTTAACCTCAGATTCTTTTTTTGTGTGGAAAAACTGTCCTCGTCCATGAAAAAAAACAACAACTAGGTTTAAAGAGAAACGCCGACAACGTAAACCTGGCGCAACAGCCCATGATCACCGAGGCGGATTTCAGAAAAGAGAGAGACGTCCGGCAAGTGTTTCAAATGAGTTGATCTTTTTGCCATCCTGATTATCGTTTTATAGAGACCATTTAGTCCCTGTTAAGTAAAAGGTAGTAATAATTTTGACAGTGACACGAAAACGAAGCGTCGGACAAACAGGAAATTACACAGCCCTTACACACTGCTAATTGTTTTCATTTTCGAAGGCTAAAAGTTTCTGAATTGTTTGGTGATTGGTGTTGAATGTCGAATTCACACCTCTGTTCTTTTTTACCTCTATGCTTGCAGCTTAATCTGCGTAATAATTTATGAAATTAGAATCCGGGCTTGGTCAATGTTTTTCCACCAAATAAAGTTTTAATACGATGTTATAATTATAACAATCACGCCATGGATCACGCTAACTCGAATCCACTCTGAATTTATCTGTATGTGTGTCGATCTCGATTATTTTTGTTGTCCAATTAAACGCCGCTTTTAACGCACTTGCCCTCGCCAGTTCACCTACTAGTATTTCAACAAAATGTAAATTTCTTTCCACGCGGCTGTCATTTATTCAGTAACTGTGATTTGTCGTTTTTTTAATTATTTGATCACTATAAACTAATGTTTAGAATGTCAAAATACGTTCTCTTTTATTTTAATTTTGAAAGTTTTACACAGACGATCGATGAAATAAAACAGTGTAGTGACGTGCCTAGTGACCTGCTAAATAACGAGATAATTCCGACGTCAAATTCTATTTTGTCCAGCGACTTTGTACAAACGTGCGCCGGTGTCGGTGACGATCACGGTGACCAGCTACACCAGAAGGGACATATTTCGCATCTAACTCAATCCCATGCAACAAAAATTGATACTATGTGTTCATTATGGTCCATTCTTCCTCGACGAACAAGTACATAAGTGACAATTTAGTCAAAGAAGAGAAAACTGCACAAGAAATTTGCCTTATTTACACGTATCGGCAATGCAAGCTGCCATGCGACTTCCCCTTCTGACGTCACAAGGGGAATTTCTGTATGAAAATGAGAAGCTAATGAGGAGCCTCGTTTTAAAATGCACAAAAATAAAGTTGCCGTAGACAGAGTTTAAAACACATTTTTTCACTTAAAAAAAATCATGCTTAGAAACATAAAAATTAATAATATTTATGTATCATTGGATAATTTTAGGCGTGAAAATAGCAGCCATTTCACAGGCACTTTTAGCCATTGTAATGACCAAGGCCACTTATACTAACGTAATAGGAAACACTCGTATATATAAAAATAGCGCCAAAATTTGTTTACACGGCGTGAATCCTTGAAGGTCTATAAATACTGTGATTTCTTTGTAATTACCAGTTGTTACCAAACTCTCGATGATACATGTTATGTTCTCCAGAATAAATACTATCCATAGCTGAAGCATATCGTCTCGCTGTCACTTTATCCCGTAACTGCGTAGTGTGTATACACTACCAGGCTCGTTAAGTTTCGTATCCTGGTCTCGATTGATATATTAAGTCGAGGCTGAAGAAGACTAGGATAGTATTGGCAACTACACGCGTTCCGGCATCCCAGCATAAATACAACGAACACACTATGCTGTCCTCGGTTGTAGCATAAGTTATACGCATGCGTTAGTTGTCAAACTCAATAATCCAGATAACCCCGTGAAAGCGCAGACACGCCGTCTAAGAAAACCCAGAGATAAATTGAATTCATAATAATGGCGTGACTGTAAATCTCTGGAAACCGGCATCCAACCCATAGTAAAATTTAATGCACACAGGGAGGGGGGCATGTTTTACCAACAACTTTACAAAAATGTACTGAACAATTCTGTCCCCTTCAAAATATTCTATGAATTCGGTAGGAAAATACAGAGCAACTGTCAACTAAGATGCTATTTTTCGCGGCAACGCGTACCGGAAGAACTACCCAAACGTAAAATAGCATCGCAGATTACTTTAACGCCCTCTAGGGGCCACTGCATAACATACATTCACGCCGACACTACATTGCGTGGGACGCATTATAGCATTTGTGGTGCCGATTGTGTTTTCATTTATATTTCATATTTTATATGATTTATTCATATTATATGTTATAAAGCTTCCACACTAATTATCAATATGTTCTGAAATTTTGCAACGTTCCGTGGTGTTCAAAATATACTCAATTCATTCAATGCGTACACGACATGCGACGCGATATCGGCATTATTCCTCAGCTCCTGAGAGCGAGGTTATTTGTTATGTTGGCGATCGCCTCTGTGTCTGGAAGTACTATGGGAGATTGCATGATGGGAGTGAAAAGTCTTTTGATCAATAAGATAATTTTAGAAAAGTTGAAACTAGAGTGACTGTGAAATAAAGGTTGGTTTTAAATATTAAATATCGTGGAATCTGGATGAAATAACGAAAGGAAACTGCATGAACGGGTATGAAAGAGCAGTAAATGTTGCAAGAATGCAAGGTCAGAATCCGGGGGTCAAAATATGTCAAAATACATTCATAATCATCCATCGGCTGTCAACAACTATGTATGCGGTAAAAGTCTTGATTTGCAGTTTGTGTGAATGGCCGGGGAAAACATCCATGCCAATTCTGTGCTTCAGTAACAGTAACAGTATTAATACAAGAAATGCTGCCAAATGAAATTTCCTTCTAGTAAACAAAACAACCATTGGACGTTTATCTTGAGAAATTGAGAAGACGAAAATCCCTTGGGACAATCCTTGTTATGAAACAATGGACATACTAATTTATCAATATACATATGGCAGTGATGTATGGGGAGATGAAATTGCACTAAAATCACAAATTGAAGATTATAAATTATCTTCGTTTTCTCTTGGAGACATTCAAAAACACCACAACAATGGGCTTATACGGTGAACTTGGACGTTACCTATTGGAGACTTTTATTGAAAAACAAATCATAAAATATTTAAATCGTGTAAAGAACTTGTCAAATCCATTATTAAAACAAGCTTTCCAAGAAAACAAAGAAATTAATAGTAAATGCTACACCAATATGGACTCCCTTTTGAATAACATCAACTAACATGGTTGACAACAATGAAAACAGCAACGCAATTAGGACAAATTAATAAAAATATACAAACATCATTTATATCAACTTGGAAAAGTGAATTACATAACGACAATCAATAAAAAAAAATAAAAAAAAAATTGAGAACATGCAGAGAATTAAAAACCAATTTTGCTTTTGAAATCTACCTTGTTAATATTGAGATGCGCGAAAATTTAAATAATCCCGCCTCAGTGACCATAACTTGAAAATTGAGACTTGCAGATACAACGTAATACCCCTTGCTAATAGAATATGCAACCTTTGTGATCAGAATCAATTAGAAGATGAGTATCACCTAATGATGTCATGCAAAAGTTATACCCCCCATATAAATGTCTTATTTGCAAATTTAAATGGCAAAAACAAAATTTTCAAAATTTGTCACCAAAGACACTATTCACAAGTCTTGCTAAACAACCAGTGGTCTAACATTCCCTGTAGCAAGGTACCTAAAGAAGTGTTTTGAAATAAGACAGCAACCCCAGTGACAATTTTCCTTCCCAGTTAAGTTTTGCATTTTTTTATTGTATAATAATTTAGTCTTAACATTTTCTTTCTCTGTTACAGTAATGTATTAGCTTAGTTTTTTTTTATTTCTTTATTTCATTTTTTTTTCGTGTTTTAACCTTTTATTCTTTCTTAAACATTTGTAACCATTGCCAATCCCTCCGGAGAATGTGTAAGTGTTAATAAATTAATATTATTTAATTAATGACCCCGCACATTAGTGATTGGTCTTGGCTAGTTGAAGAGGTTTTTAAATGGGCGACTCGATAGAAGTATTCGCCGTGACTCAAGACTTTTCATTCGGGTTTATACAACAGTTACATGTTACTGTCAGGAAGGTTTAATGTCTTGTTTGTATTTGCACAATGTGAAAGAGAGGCTTATTGTCAAAATATGCTAGTATATGGGTGGTTGTATGCGTATTGAAACTTTACAAAATTTGACTTATGTTACCAAACTGTACGTTTTGACGACTCGTATGCAATTAAAAGATTATATCTCAGATATACTCGAAGCGAATCTCAGCACTGTGCTTTTTATAAATGTTATGGTTCGGTTAATAATTTCCTGGAAACTGTACAGAAAATCACAGACTGTTATTATTTATTGTTCATAGTTTTTCTAAATTTCAGTTTGTATTGTTCATAATTATTTACAGCAATAACACTTTTTTTCTGTTGTGAAACCATTTCCAGTTATTATGATTGTGTGCATGACAGCTTTCCCCCACACAATAAGACAGGATGATATGTACGGATATGCGCGAGTATGTTTCACAGGTTAATAGGCCACTTCTTTGCTTTAATTCCAACTATATCTCTGGAAATATCACTTGCTGTTTATCATCCATATTTCGATATCCCACAATGTCTGGTAATTCTAACTAACTACTATTTTGCAAAATTTGCACAGCCTTGCTTCTACTCCCATATTGTCCTTCACAGTGAAGGTTAATGCAGATATATTGTAAATTACACAGAGGTAACACTACAATACATTTCCTTTCACATTCCCCTGTATTACACAACAGCCTTTGTACTGAGGCAGTTATGGTTCACAACTATCACCAGTCCTCTTGTATGTGTTGTAGCTCCAGCCGTGGCGGCGATGCTCACGAAACTTGCCATTATATATTGAAACTGACCGACTCGTATCAACTTCCGGCTCAGGTCAAAGGTTTTCAACTACGCGGCCCTTGGATTTTCCTATTACATACACGTATTACTTACTATATAACACGCCAGCGGTCCCATGGTGCGTTTACCATTATATATGAATAAGATGTTGACCTGTCCCACGGGGGGGGGGGGGGGCGTAAAGCGAATAACCGAAGATTAAAGTGTAAGTGAAATGGCTGCTATTTTCTGGCCAAAAATCATTTATTGGTACATCATTATTATTATTTTTTATGTTATTAAGTAAAGACATAAGTGAAAAAATGGGTTTCAAACCCAATCTACGCCAAGTTTATTTTTATGTATTTTAAAACGAGGCTTCTCATTAACTTCTCATTTGTATACTCAAATACCCCTTGTGACGTATGAAGGGCAGCGTGCATTTCTGATATTATATAAGGCACATTTCTTATTCAATTTTCTCGTCTTTGACTGAATTGCCACTCGTGTATCGAGGAAGAGTAGACTATATATATAAAGAACACATATTATAAAGTTTATCGTATTGGGTTGAGTTAGATACGAAATATATCTCTTCTGGTGCAGCTGGTCGCTGCGATCGACTGTGTACTGCACAATCACAGTCACAGTCACTTGTATCGTGGTCGATGAAGTCGGTTGAAGTGCCGACATCTATTGCCATGGAACTCTCCTCGATCTCTACGTTTACGTCGATTTGAGTTATGTCATAATTACGCCAGTTCAATAAGAAATACGTAGTTTGCTAAATATTGACAGCCCACTTGTTATGCAGATCAAATCGCAAGAAAAGATAACAAAAGTGTGAAGTCAACACCAATCACAAAACAATTCGAAAACTTTTAGAAAGTACTGGAAGTTCTATGGACAGCGTAATTAAAAACAAATGCAAAAATAAAATTCGACCGAAAAATAATAGTAATGTTAAATGACGCAGTATTATAAAAGTATAGCGCAAGAGTATGGCTTCCTCTCATATTTTGGCGTTGCACCGTAATAGTCAATTTAAAAGCCGACCTCTTCAAGTTCACTCACACTGCCTCAATTGCGCATGTGCCTGATATTTCAGGTACAAAAAACAAGATTTAGGAAGATCAAGAAAAAATAAAGCCAGAAGGTGGGTAATGAAGTACGGAATGATCATGGTTGTAAATTACTTTTTTTTTTGTTTTCCATACGGTGTTTTCATACCGTATACAAATATATATAAAAACAGCCAGCCAGACAATATCAAAACTTGAAATTTATAACAGAGATTTGCGAAAAAATGAATATTATTCATTAATGAATAAACAAATTATAAATTATTTCAAAAAAAAGAGGGCAGGGACAATTGACATTAAACTAAATACCAACCAGGTATTACATTACGTCTAGATATATGTTATTTCACTCTATGCCGTCGCACGTTTGTGTTACGCAAGTCTATGGAAGGAATCATAGCTCTTCAGTGTCGATAACAATCTTAATATGTAAAAATAACAAATTTAATGACACCAAATGTATCAGAAATAACTAAAATACCATCAGAAGGACTAAAGACCGACAAAAGAAGAGCTAAAAGTATGCACCCACAGCCGGGGGCGCGTTCAAAATTTGTCAATCATGTATTTTACTCGCGCCGTGTACGTCACATTGTATCCACATTATACAAAACGTGAGGCAATGACCACTCACCATATAGAGAAATTGAGTTTCGTAATTATATTCATAACATCATAAACAACAATGTTTCTATGGCATAAATAGGAACAAAACCAAGGCGCGGATCTTGATTTTCCCCAGGAAGGGTCTTAGTTTTAAATATTAAAATCAGATGGCATACATTGACATTTATAACGATGTACCCGCTTCTTACTGAACCACATCACTCAGGAATGCAAGCCGTTGTAAGTATTATAATTGTTATGAACTAGTTTCACAAACTTTAAAAAAGAAATACGGAAACTTACCCGACTTAATATGTATGTAATTACTTAAAATGCACAATCAATTATTCATTTTCTTCATTACTTGAATAAAAATATTTGTTGTGGAGATTATATCTTCCATGAAACGTTTGACTGACTGTTAGTTGAAGAGCTAGCATTGAACTATAATAACAAGTATAGAGAATTCTGGGAAAATCTATGACCGACGGGTTCTTGTCAACCACTCTCTGTACACACAGACATACGCAAAACAAGTGTGAGGGTCTAGTTATCAAGCATCCTTGGAATGACCCGTTGTAGTGGTGATGCATGTAATGTCACTAATAAATAATCACTAGTACGAGTGACTGCCAATAAATGGAATCCAAGAAAAAACTCATATACAAAGTAAGAAAAATAACATTAGCGTTTTTTTCTATATTTTAAGGTTTATATTCTAAATTTCATACGCAACAAAAATGAACAAGTCGTTTTTCAATGTGAAAATTCTAACAGTGGGCATTTTTACAATTGCGTGATTTTAATTCAAAACAATTTACGCTGAATACATAGCTGTATTATTCTCTATTAAATGCACATGTACCTGTAGCTCTCCTCTCATCGTGGTATTGGGTTGAGTACTTATTTCTAGACATATATTTAAAGCGGGGGAGACGTCACCTGCGCATGCATCAGATGGCCATAAGCGTGTCAATGTCTACAAACATGCATCTACCCATGAGCCTTTGCGTTTTAGCATGCGTTGTTAACGTCGTTTGGGACTCAATTCCCGCGCGTGCGCAAGTGACGACCCTTCCGCTTTAAAAGCGAATACATTAAGAAGATGACTTGAATTTTAAATATTTTCTTTGACCCGACACACACAGGGACCATCAATTCCGATAATATTTACAAAAACGGAGTGTTGTGAATTATCGTGTTATATCTAATGTACATCTGTACACTCATTCCGGATTACCCATGGACGTGGATTAATGCGGTATAAATTATAAATATTTAAATCCCATTTAGATATAAACCTGCCAATTATAGGGACCCACAAAAGCGAATCACAGACTCTATATTGTGATATTTTGAGAAAAGTGATACAGAGCCCTCTCTCAGAGAAGTTATTTATGACTAACCGTGGGTAATCCAAGTATATATAAGAAAGTAAATATTACTAGCCTAACAAGAAGAGTGAACACTTAAGTCAGCAAAGACATTGTTATAAATATACTTATGAAATTTTTATGGGCGGTTTTTATTTAAAACAGTTTCATTTAAATCCAAAAAATAATGGATTGGCTAGACGGGGGCCTCCCCATATCGCGAAACGCTCGTGCACTACCCAGACATATAAATTGGAACAAGAGCAGCTCAAACAATGTGTACATGTCGCGTGCATTTATAAATACTTTATAGCGTGCATTCCTTAGCTGACCTCTCTGTCTTGTACATGTATATAACTGGGTCACTGGGTCACAATCAAATGTCAAAAATATACAACAAGGTATTGTCTTTCGAGATAACTATGAATCATTCATAAACAACAGGTAACAATTAATGAAAACCGAACAGTGAGATTTATAAAAGGCATCTACATTGTATAATCAAACGCTCAATTAACCATCAACAGCCTATGTCTTTTCGCTACCAGATGATCACTGAAACGCAATGAACATCCAGAAAAACAGAACAGCACACCAAACGACACTGCTGGACTTCAACAACGAAGATGTCCCTGTGAATCAAACAGCAGAAAATTATCATGATACTAGTATTGTATGCAACACATATAAATACGTTCTCATTGGAAAATCTCTTTCGGTCTTTCTTGGGTTAAAGCGCGGTGGTCGTCGGGCAGCGCGTGTTCGAATTTCATGTAACATTGTATTTTATACGCATTGTATACGTCGCTTAGACTGGCGCAGTCGGGGCGATTAATTTGTTTTTCGTTGCAGTTTAAATAAAATAAAAAATTTCACGAAATGGAGGTGTTAGCGCGAAGTCCCCTGTAACTGCGAAATCACCCCGACTGGTTTATTCTGCATGGCCCTCTAGCGACACTCCGGGAACCCGTCGATTTTTCAACGGGTAATTATGTTAATGAGTGTTCTAATTGACAATCACCTAAGCCAATCGCAACGTCTCTTCAACTGACCTCTGACCGAGAAG